CAGGGGGCGGGCGAGGGCGCATCCGCCGTCTCTGCTTCCCGGAACCGCTTGGGGCGCAGCGTGGGGTGTGCGTGGGTGGAGGCCGGGCAGGGACCCCGCCCCCGGGACCCCGCCCCGCTGTTGCCTTTGCACACTGGTCTGGAGAGCGGTGTTCCCAGCTGGGGGCGCAGGCGCTTCAGTGGGGGAGAGGGTTTCGCCGGGTGCCGACGCGTTCCCCTCCCTGGCGCAGGGCATCAGTTTTACAAGCCGAAGCTGATCATGCGGCTGGAGCGAGGACAGGAGCCATTTGGCGAGGCCCCAGCGCCGCCCGCAGCCCCAGGGCCCAGGGCCCAGGGCCCCTCCGCAGGTGAGCAGGGGCGTGGCGGGCCCTGTACCCTCCTGGGGGCTGGGGGGGGGCGCGGGGCTGCGGCTCCCTCCCACGCCAACCCTCAGTGCCTTTTCCGCTCCTCATGGGCCCGGCTGCCCCTCCCGCACCGCACCGCAGCTTCAGGGGGAAGGAGGGAGAGGGCGGGGGTTGGGTGGGGGGGGGCGTAGGGCACAGGGCTGGGGCGCTGGGGTCCTCACAGGTCCTCCTGATGCGTCCCAGCAGCACCCCTGTGGGGCAGTCCTGGCGATAGGGGCTCACTGCGTCGTCCTGTGCAAGTCACCGGCCAGTGCCAGGAATTTGCAGTCTTCAGCAGGGCCAGGACTGAGCCACAGGGGCTGAGAAGGGGCGGAGCCGAGTGGGGAAGGACAGTCCGGCAGTGGGGCAGGATGGGCCATGGGCCGTGGGGCAGGCCCTGGCGGATTCTCAGTCTGCTGTGTCCCCTGGACCTCCACCCAGTGAGCCCTGGGAGGCCTCCCTGACCACCTAAGGGAACTGAAGGAACCACCACCCTCCTCTCCCTCCCTCCCTCCCACCATCAACCTTCTACTTGGTTTCCACTGTGTACACACCCATTTCTCTCTAACCCTGTGATCTTCCCATATCTTCTGTGAACTTATTGCCTCATCTACATTGCATTTATCTATCTACCTGTCTATCTTCTACTTACATCTCAGTATCTATGTATCACCTCCCTGTGTATCATAATCAAGGTAGCTGTCATCCACCCACTTCACCAATGTCCAACCAACCATCCATCACCATCCACCATCCTCACCACCATCCATCCATCCATCCAACCATCCATCATCCACCATCCCTCCATCCAACCATCCATCATCATCCATCCATCATCCATCCACCATCCTCACCACCATCCATCCATCCAACCATCCATCATCATCCCTCCAGTCAACCATCCGTCATCCATTACCCATCCATCACCACCCCTCCCTGCCTCCCTCCTTCCCTTATCTGTCTCCTCACCTGTCTAGAAGGTCGGTGAGCACATAGATAAGGTAGATGTTATTATATGGCTCCTTGTCTTACTGGCTTCCATTGTTCCTTCCTGAGTGTTCTTGATCTTCAACTTAGTGCCATATTCTTGGATCTGTTCATTTGCTGAATTCTTTCTTTCCAACTCAAATATGTCCACTGCACTTGTTGACAGAGCTTCCCATTGCTGTAGTGGGGTGGGAGCTGAAGGCTTCACAGGCGGTGTGTGGGAGGCTGTGGCGAGGAGATGGGCCCAGAGGCTGGCGGGGCGGGGTCCAGGCTGGGCATGACCCCAGGATGAGCAGTGGCTCAGCCCTGTGCCTGCACTGGTGGCGGTCCACCTCCGCGTGTTCTGAGCCTTGAGGGTGGATGCTCATGTGTCCCCAGTGCAGTCATCGGAGGTGGGAAGTTGCAGAAATGCTTCCTGGGCATGATGGCTGAGGTCACAGGGACCCATGCAAAGAACACCCGGATCAGGACAGCTGTGGCTCTGCCAGGCTGCACCAGGAGTGCTCCCTGAGGGCGGGTCAGGTCAAGAGCTTCCCTGCTGGTGGCCGGCCATCTGTGGTCCCTCAGCGAGACTGGACGTGGCTTGTGGCTTTTGATGGAAGTGAAAGCTGAAGCGCCCCCTCCCACCCCAGGGAGCAGCAGGGTCCCTTTGCACCCTTCCCAGCAGGCACTGACTCCACACCTTGAGGAACCCAAAACCTGTAGGTGTTAGGAGTTCCTAGCCAGTGTTCCTAGGAGGCCTCTCATGAGCCTGCATTCCTGGAGGAGGGCCGGGCACTGCCCTAGGAAGCCGCCCTCCTGATGTGTGGGTGGAGGAGTACTGCCCCGGGCCCAAGGCCACTGCCCCGGGCCCAAGGCCACGGGAACAACCATGCTCATCCCTCCTGGAGAGGGGGCTATTTCAGGTCACCTAAACCTCCACCAATAAGTTAGTCCAAGAGTCAGGCTTCACCTTCTGTGTCTGATGAATCAACAGATGGGTGAATGTGCGAGTCTGGACATAGGTGTCCCTGCCAAAGCTGGAGGGTCAGCCAGTGATATTTCACTGGCCAGGTGGGGAAACTGGGTTTCCTTTTCTTACAGTCTGGAGCCCCTTCTGTGCACACCCCTCCTGGGTGGGTTCCCTGCACCATGGGGGGGGCCCCTCCCTGTGCCTTCATCCTCCTGGTCCTGGGTCCTGGCTCCGAACCTCCCCCCCCCACCCCACCTTGGCCTGAGGCCCAGCACAGCTATCCAGGGCAGATCCACCCTGATTGTTTCTAGGACCTCCCCCAGGGAGGTCCTGTTGCCATGCCAACTCAGTTGCCATGGTGACTGGCCAACTGGGGTTTCCCAGACTCTAAGTTGGGGAGACAGGGGCTGGGGCACTACTCCCCAGAGTTGGTCACTTTGGCAACTTTGTGGGCAGTGGCGGTTCTGGCCAAGGGAGAGGAGATGGCCACCAGCTTTGGAGCAGAGTGAAGGTCAGGGAGGATGGGGAGGCCATCCAGTGTTCACAGGGAGTCCCGCACCACACAGGGTGGTGAGTGTGGTGCCGTAGGCAGGAGAAGCCTGTCAGCGCCAGCTGTGATGGGTGTGTTTATGGCACATTTCTGGTTTTATTTTTAAAAACAAGACTTCATCGCACTTCCTGGCAGGCCAGTCAGCATTATTAGCAAAGGATTCTGTTTCATCTCATGAAACAATAACTGGATTTATTCCCACCGGGACTGAGAACGGGGACAGAGGAGGGTATTCACAGGCTGGCCTGTGGCAATGCACGGGTGCCGAGTGCCATGAGGACGGAGATCGAGGCCCAAAGCTGCAGCCGCACATGGTGAGCCGGTGGCTTCTCCATGCATACCCCTCCTAGCCAGTGGTTTAACTCGGTAAAAGTCCAGAAACTTATCTGGCCAGAAGTCTCAGCTTGGCACCTATTTCTCATCAGCCCTGCTCAGGGGCTAGAGCTCTACTTCTTACTGTAGAGTTGACATCCAGGGGGTGGAGTCTAGAATGTTCCACTTTCCATCACGGAATTGGCTGTGAGCACCATCCACCAGCTTGGTGGCCGCTCCTCACAGTTACATGATGACTCAATGCATGTGGGCACAAGGATGTTCTGAACACTTCCGCTTAAGAGAATTAACACCATTGTGGGATGACCCCTTATGAACTCTAGTTGAGCTGCACATTTATGGTTGATTTACTTGTTTGTGTCTGATACTGCAGCCAAACATTTCAAGCAAAGGTAAAAACAATGGCCTAAAAAAGATGTTGATTCTCTCAATCTCTTTCAGACAAGAAAACAAAGCCAATCTCAAAGGCATCAGTTCCCAAGTCAGGCACTTCTAAGTCCTCATCTCGGGGTAAAGCCAGAAAAGGGACCCAACAAGCTACTAGGACAGGAAGGACTTTGGAGGTTGAGGGTAGGTCGCCACAGGGCAGCCACAAGTCGGATCCAAGGCTGGCTACAGGCTCAGGCAAAAAAATCCTGCCTGGCAAAAAAGGGCAAGAACCCATGACCTCAAAGGGCTGCTTGAGTCAACCATCAACTAGTGTGGCGCCACAGGGCACCACCAGCAGGCCAAAGACCCCACCAAGAGAGACTCATGGGAAAACAACCAGCACGGTCTGCACAAAGCACCAACGGCAGTCAGCCCGAGCAGGGAAGCCTCACTTTAAATGTAAAGAATGTGGGAAAACCTTCAACCAGACCCTCCACCTGGTAGAGCACGAGAGGATCCACACCGGAGAGAAGCCTCACAAGTGTGACAAGTGTGGGAAATCCTTTCGGCACAGCTCCTACTTCTTCACGCATTATAGAATCCACACGGGAGAGAGACCCTACAAGTGTAAGGTGTGTGGGAAAGCCTTCAATAGCAGCTCTACCCTCAACAGTCACTATAGGACCCACACTGGGGAGAAACCCTTTCGATGTGAGGAGTGTGGGAAAACCTTCAAGCAGAGCACAAAACTTACACGTCACCGGCGGGTGCACACCGGGGAGAAGCCCTACCGGTGTGAAGAGTGCGATAAGTGCTTTAGCCGCAGCTCCTCCTTGACAGAGCACAAGAGGATCCACACTGGCGAGAAGCCATATCACTGCAAAGTGTGTGGGAAAGCCTTCCGGTGCAATTCCCATCTTTTCGAGCACCACCGGATTCACCAGGAGGAGAAAGCCCACCAGTGTAAAGAGTGTGGCAAAGCCTTCCGCAGCGGCTCCCACCTGTCAGAACACAAGAAGGTTCACCAACCATTGACCCGGGAGGTATGCCAGCATTGTGGGAGAGCCTTCACCAGGAAGACAGCCCTACTCACACACCAGAAAACCCATGGGAAGGATCGTAGCTGTCAGTGTGAGGGGTGCAGGAAGTCTCGGTGCCACGTGGGCATTCACCGACATCAGAGAATGAACGCCAAAGACAAGCCGTGCATGTGCCCTGACTGTGGGAGGTCTTTCATCGACAACTTGACACTTACCAAACATCGCCAAACCCACACTGTGGAGAGACATTATCCATGCACCAAATGTGAGAGGACCTTCGGGCAGCTCTCCTCTCTGGCGCTCCACCAGAAAATGCACACCAGGAAGGGAGACTAACCCCGTATGAAGAGCCTCCAGCTGGAGCTCGGGATGCCACAGTGTCCAGAGAAGTCAAATTGAAGTTAACAACGTGAATTATATTTCCTGTGTCTCATTACAGGATTTCTAGAGTAGACCATTAGTTTTCATTTGGGGGTGATGGGACACTGTTCCTTCCTTGGATATATGGGCAGTGTTTGAGGTGTTCTTGGTTGTCCAGTTTGGTGCTGCTACTGCATCGAATGTGTAGCTAGCCCAAGGCCCTCTAAATACCCGAGACCACACAGTGCCCCCTCCGCTGCACGTTCCAGCTCCAGATGTCTAGAGGCTCAGCAAGGCACAGCATAAGGGGTCTTGCCATAAATGGCTATGGGAGACTCGTAGCATCTGCAGCTGGTTTTCTGGGTGCTTTGGTGTCTCTGGATTGGCCGATACCCCACCACAAGGATACCCCACCACAAGGATACCCCGTTCTTCCCGGAGCAGAACAGCCCATGGAAGATGATGTTATTGGAGGGGGCTCACATCTGTGTGCTTTCACCTGTCAAGGCATTTAATTCTCCCCGAGTCCTGTGAAGAGAAATTAAGGTGGGCCCGTGTGACGGGGAAATCCGGGCTCACGGTCCGTCCTGGTTCTTCCCGTGGTTACTATTTCAACATTTGCACAAAAACCAAGACTCTCTTGCTATTTTTATATCACACTTTCAAATGCTGGCAGTTCAGATTTCTACCAGTTGTATCTTTTTTAACGTGTGGAGAGCTGTTTCTGCTTCTCTTACATTTCTCTGCCCTTTGAGGCAGACAGTTTTCCTAGTGAGACTGTAGGTCAGGGCTGGACGATCTGTGGCCCAGTCCAGCCTATGGCCTTTTTAAGAAAATTGCAAATAAGGCTTTATCGGCACACACATGCCCACTTTTTACAGACTGCTGGTGGCTGCTTTTGCGTTTGCTGGGGTGGTCTGGAGTAGCTGGGCCAAGCTCTGACGGCCCACAAGACAGCAGATGTTTGCTCTGAAATGTTTGACACAAAAAATGTTGACTGAGCCTGGCTTCAGGCTAACAAGATAATGAGCAGGGGTGGTTGGGAAGAAGAGACGTCCTGGAGCTTCTGCCGTGCACCTGAGGCCACCTGGTGTCTGGCCAGCATGCCCAGCATCCGTTGTATGTCCAAGCATGGGAAGGACGCCTGGGACAGAGCGTGTCTTCCCCTGGCTCCGTGCACGCACCCGTCCCCTTTCACTTCAAAAGTGCCGCTGCGACCTGAGTTGCCATCATGGAAGCAACATGGGGAGCAAAGGCAGCCTGGACAGGCCTGCCTGCCGTGTGATGCCTGGACGCACTGGTCTCATGCACCTTTTGCGCTGACATCTTCCTTGCGAGTGACATTCGCGTTCCTTTTCCGATTTCTTGTGTATTTTTTTATTTTCCTGTGGACCTCTATCCAGGTACCTGGACATGTGTGCATGGGGTCCCTGTCCAGTGGCAGCCAGAGCTGGGTGTGTCCACGCTGTATCCACAGCCATGACCACGTGGGAGGACGTGGGGTGGCTGAATGTGATTGAGCCCTGGTCATTTCTGTGAAAAGGGGACGAAGAGGGGGCAGAGGGACGTGTGTATATACACACATCCATGCGCGACACACTGACCACACATCCGACAAGCCAGCAGAGGGCGCGTAGGCCAGGTCCGGAGCGCCAGAATAATGGCAGTGACCTGGCAGAGGTGACGCTGAGTGAAGGTGGAGCAGGAGGCCTGCGTGGATGGAGACATGCTTCTCCTTGGGTGACGACCACACCATTACAAGTGGCGGGTACTGCCAGAACTGTGGACCTGACACCCACTTCCCCGTCCTCCCATGCCCCTCACCCCTCAGTGTCTCCTCACCCCTCGGCGGGTACTGCCAGAACTGTGGACCTGACACCCACTTCCCCGTCCTCCCATGGGACCTGTGCAGTAGATCCAACTGGCCCCTGAACTGCAGATGGCGTTTACCCCGGGAGCTGGAGTCCAAGTGACCAGGTGCTGCTGGTCGCCGCAGGCTGGGCATGAGGCGTCCTGGGTGGACAGTGGCACCCCGCCTTCTCCAGCCTCCTCTGTACTGGCTGGCACTGCCATGGATGTCCTTGTCATGGCCCCTGAGGTGTGACTGGTGGGGCTGTGGGCTGGACAGCCCTGGGTCCTGGGTGAGCTGGTAGAGCCGAGCCCGAGCCCTGGAGCTTGCAGGCCGGGCCAGCCCTGAGGACCGGGGCTGTGTGGAGAACACAGCATTTTCTAGCAGAATGTAAAGAACTGCAGTATTATGACAACAGTTTATCGTCCATTTTAAATGTCTTTTACTCAAGCCTTATATTGTCTGTATTAGTCTCAGCATGTACTCTGCCCGGACCCCTCCCAACCCTCCTGTCCGACGGACGCGAAGTCTTTGGATCCTGTCTGCGGACGGCCTCTCCGCGCAGCCCGTGTGGCGGGCCGTGCTGTAATAAAGCAGACCGAAGGTCACCTTCAGGCAGGCGCCTGTGTGTCTGTACTGTCGCCTCCCGGTGCCGCTCTCAGCACAGAAACCCTAACAGAGTCCTTTACACCAGCAAGTTCCAGGTGATGGGGATGGCGTCGGGGCCTGGGCTGTGGACCCACAGGGTGTGGCATGGGGGCTGCTCTCTGAGCACCTGTAAAGGCTGTTCCTTCTGAGCTGAGTGCCGGCCCTGAGCAGGTCCTGAGGGCCCCATCCTGCCCCAGGGGCCCCGAGTCCCGCATCCTCAGGCGCCCTGTGACAGAAGCAGGGAGTACACCCCTGCGGGGCTCTGGAGGGGCCAGGGCCTGGGGCTGTGTGGGAGGTCCTAGGGCGGCCCACACAGAGGGATGCAGCTGTGCCCTAGGGCAGACCCCAACCTCCTGGCGGTGGACTCCCGGGTGTGGGGGCAGCCTGGAGGCCGGGCAGGGTGCGGGTACCCAGGAGGGCCGCACAGGCCAACAGGATTGGGAGCAGGCCAGGCGGCAGTGGGGGCAGCCGGGGTGGGGCCAGGGTCTGTTACTAACTGGGGTGCGGGCGAGAAAAAGAAATTGTGGGAAAATCCCTAAAGGCACCGGGTGGGGGTGGGCTGGGCGGACCCAGGGTCCCTTCGCCACCTCTGGGTGTTCGCCGGAGGCTGGGGGGCTGCGTTCGGGGCCTGCGAGCTGCGAGGGTCGCGCGTCTGCGGATGAGACACCGAGCGGGGACGTGGCCCAGACCACCGGCCAGTGGCAGAGGGGCAGCCCCGTGGCCCCTTCCATCCCCCACACCCCGCCAGGCCCCTCTGCCACCGCGGCCCTGAGGCCACCCGCCGCCCGGCGCTGCAGCAGGAGGAACCTGTCGCCCCTGCCCTGTCCCTTCCCCGGGGCGTCCCGGCGCTGGACTTGGGGCCCGGCCTCCAGGGGTAACCCCAACTTGGAAGCCCTGGCAGCCCTCGAGTGCCCCCTGCCGGCCCCCGCCCCGCGCGCGCCCCCTGCTGGACCGCTACAGGCACCCGTGGACTGCGCATGCGCGGGGCCCAGGCGCCCAATCCCAGCGAGAGGGTCGGTCAGACGGTCAGTCCAGTCGGTCAGTCGGTCAGTCGGTGGGAGGCGCCTGGGAGCGGTGGGGGCCGCGGGGCGCCGTAGGGCTGGGGGCGTGGGGAGTGGCGGGGCGCCTTTCCTGAGGAGACCCGGGTGCCGGGTCTGAGGAGACAATCGTGGGGCCTCGGCCCGGCGCTCCAGGCCGTGAGCCTGACAGGCCGGGGCGACCCCAGCCCGCAGCCCCGCATGGCCCCGCCGGGCCTCCCCCTGCCCCCGCCGGGTGCCTCAGTGTCCCCGCCTCAGCCCCTCCCCTCAGTGCCCTGCCCAGTCCTCCGTGTCCCTGCCCTGGTCCCTCCCCTCGGCGCCCCTGCCCAGGGCCTCCCCCAGCGTCCCCGCCTCAGCCCCTCAGTGTCCCGGCCTCAGGCCCTGCCCTTGGTGCTCCCGCCGGACCTCGCCCAGTATCCCCACCCTGGCCCCTCAGTGTCCCGCCTCACCCCTCAGTG